GAGGCTTCCTGAGGACTCAAGCACACATCCTCTCACCTGTGCACAGCACCCTCGCTCTTGGAACCGGATGCCCTGTGCCGGGAGAGGATGACACGGCTGACAGAAATTCTGAACGCAGCCTAGCTAGACCATCGGGCAGATGTCTGACAGATCAACGTACGAGTCACGACGTCATGCAGCCGAGGATCTCTCGTTGTCAGCAGCGGCAAGAAGTGGCAGCGGCTGGCAAAGCGGGCGAATGGTTCGTTTGGTGCCCCAGAATGTCACGATAGCAACAGCCAGCAACGTCAGTTTTCGGCAAATGTTTCGAGTCGTCCAAAGGCTCATCTCTCCTTTTTCGGTTTATCGTTGTCCAGTTGTCTCCCGCCTGCCGTCATCCTGCTCCCCTTCCCATGCGCGGGTTTAGCAAATTTGGGTGTCCAGAACTTGGGAGCAGGTTGTTGTCGAAACACAAGGAAAGATGTCGACCATATGCTTCGTAGCCTTTGTCGTTCGACCCGCCAACCCACCACAAACAAATCCTTTGCACAAGCGGCTTTCCTACTGCCCGTTGGCCAGTTCACTGTTCAAGTCCTGTGGTAGCAACTAGGGCTGAAGGCTTGACTACCATCCTTCCTTTCGGGGTATAGTAGGGCTTGCCCACCACCACTACTCCTTGTTCAGTGCTTTTTGCCAGGGCCGGGTGGGCTCTTCGACGGTTTACAGTTTACAGCTTGCACATCATCACTGTGTTCGGGGCCTGTGCACCATCGCAGCTGTACGGTTGGCTGAGCTTTTGCTTTGCGGCGCAGGGACTCGTCCCTGCTCCTTCTCCTTCTGGGGCTTCCGCTTGCTACCCATCGCTTGAAACGGAGAGTAACGAAGTTTGGAGAAGTCTGGTTTTATGGTTCTTTTGTTCATGCAAGGGTTTAAGGCCCAGGGATGCAGGGTCCTGTCCGCTCGGGAACCTTCGGCGTGCGGAAGCGATTCCAGAATGACTTTGCGAGTCTGCGAATTTGATTCTCAGAGTCTTTGTCCGACTCTTGTCGAAAGCTTAGCCTGCTTGCCAACTTTACTCTACGAATTTCGCCGTAGCCCCCGCGAGTCGGCGTGGCTTCATTGATTTCTCACTCACGCGTCAACAGCAGAGCAAGAGTTGCTTGTTAAGATGCCATTTCGACAGCGCTGAAGGTGTTGTCTGCCCACCTGATCCAGAGGCAAGTGGCAGATTTGAAGCAGAAATTGGGTGCACCGCATCGTAGGCGGTGCACACCGAAACGGCAGACTGCCGGGCAATCGACTGTGAAGAGCGCAATGCAGCCAGCATCTTGTGCGAAATACGAGTGGAGGGACCGTTTACTACGTCTGGCAGGTTGGCGATGCAACGTCGAACGGCGCTGCAGCTTCCGCCGAACCTCCAGCGACATAACCGCTTAAAAAGATTGGAGTCGCATCCTTCCGCATCGATGCGCATCCTTGCAGTTCTTGGGTATGACCGCCTGCATGCGTTTGTGTGCAGATGGCATAGTTGAAAGCCTTCGATGAGGAGCTCCTGATCAAGTGTCTCCTTCGAACGCGCTTGCCTGTTGAACGCCGACCTATGCTGAGCTGCTTCGTCTGACATAATGAGGCTGAGCTATTCCCTAACCCCAAACCCCACAACATTCCACCCTAGGCCCTAGGCCCCAGACCATCGCGTCTTCATAACTTATAGCTCGCAGAGCCGAGAAACCTCAAATCGTGAAACCCTAGGCCCTAGGCCTTAAATCCGAAAACCTGTACATATACACATATATACATATATGTACATATATATATATACACATACATATATATATATATATACATATATATATATATATATGTATATATATATATATATATATATATACATGTATACATACTTCTTCTATGTACCTAGATACTTAAGAAGGTAGATAGATAGATACAGGGCCCTGAGCCGGCGCAGCCCATGGCCTCGGTGCAATGACACGATGCCCAGGGCCATGCCAGTGATCCAGAGCGGTTTCTGGCACGACGGAGGTGTGCCCATGATCCGAGCAGCAGAGTAGGTAACCTTTAACACTCTTGGGGTATCATAGTCTCTTGATAATCCCAAAAAAAACTCCCAAAGGGTTCCAGAAATCCCGTTGCGATGGCCTTGCAGATGTTTCTGTGGCATTTAAGCATCAAGAGCTCTAGCTCCAGCTGCAAGCTCCATGTGAGAAATCATGAGCGAAGTGCCAGCCAGCCAACCGCAGAGAGACTCACCCCCGACGCACGCTGAAGATATCATGAACAGCTCGTCCACATCCGTGGCGTTTGAAAACAGCCTTCGTGTCGTCGTTCGCCCTCGTCAGTGTAGTCAGTGTAGTCGTTCTGCAGTGGAAATGCTAAGTCACGGCAACCGTGCTGCTCTTGGAAGCACCTGCCCAGTGACCTGGAGGCGTGCTGACATCCTTCGGAGTTTGCCCTGCGCCTGATGCCAAGGCTGCGTCTGCAAGCTCACTGCTCATTTCGCAACCGACGGGCTTTCCGAGCAGTTTGCAGTTTTCGCATTCTCTTGCAGCCTTTGGATGAGCAAGCGCCGCCGTGCTTGGAGAGCGGCCAGGAGCAGGGAACTCTGTATGTAGTGTCCTTGTGTTCTGCAGGAAATCGATACCTGAATCTTGTAGCGGAACATCGTATCGTGTCGGAAGTGATCTTCCAGAACGCAAGATCAAAAGTAGCATGGTAATCACACACAACTGCAAGAACAATTACATAGCATTGACAAACGAGCTTGTGACGCAATGGCTCGAATGCCTGTGGCTCTAGCTGTGTTGCGCCTTCAGGTGTTTCGATTAAACGGTTGTAGGTTCCGTAGCCTGTTGGCAGCTGCAAGCCAGGCAAAACCAGGAACAGTTCTTGTGGCCGGAGGAAGTGGGTTGGGGGGGGGTGGGCGGAGGGGCGGAAGGTGCTATTGTTGTCTTGGCATCTGTCTGTGTGTGTGTGTGTGAAGACAAGTAAACAAAGAAAGATCTGCGTGTGTGCATACATATATGCATATACACATACGCATACGTATATTTATTTACACACATGCGCACACACACACACACGCATGTTTGTTGCTGAGTTTGCACACCGCCCAGATGCTATGCTAGCACAACGTGACTACTGTCCAGCACCAGAGCCAGGACTCATCGCAACACGACAGGTCATTCGGGGTATGCATCATTCGCTGACTCAGAGACCCGCTTGGACCTGAAGCTTTCCTGGTGGAAGCATCATGTGCACATCATGACCATATCCGTTCAAAGCGTTCCAGATTGGCGAACCCGTGCTGTACTGACGGGACCCTCACTCACAGGTCAGAACAGTACCCCGTGCCAGCCGCTGCAGGTGTTGATGCTGTGGACAGATGGCAGCTGTGTCGGTCGAACACCTTCTGTCTCATGAAGCCATTCAAACTACCGACCGAAGAAAGTGTGCAAGTGTGTGTGTGTGTGTGTGTGTGTGTGTGTGTGTGTGTGTGGGTGTGTGCGTGTGCGTGTGCGCGTGCATGTGTGTGTGTGTGTCCGCCGATAAAGAGGCTCCTAGACACGTCTGGCAGCTGTTGAGGGCCGTTGCCATCTTGGGTCTTCCTGTAATTTTTGTCTGGCATCGGCAGGAGTGCTCAACTCTGGCCGAGCGCTCCGGGCTTAAGAAGTTTGTCAAATCGGTTGACGAGAGCCTCAAGGCGCCTCCTCGCCAAATCCTCAAGCCCCGCGCTGCAACGATGCAGTCTTGCGCCAGGATGCCGTGGAAAACGCAAAGGAGGCCCGCAAACGGTTTGAAAAACGGGCCTCCTGGCTGCATAGCAAGGGAGTTGAACATGCCGCGCAACACTCAGCCTTGTCAGTTCAGGTTTGCGACTTCCGATATGCTGAAATCGAGGAGCACACTCTTCCGTGCCTGATTGAGTTGACTGAGACCTTCTCCGTTCCGGCTGCTGCTTGAATAGGGGCTTGCAGACTCTTCTGCTGCACTTCCCTGTATTGTGCGCACGGCGGCGAAGAAGAAGACAAGATGTTACCAGCCACTCAGTGCCCTCTGACTTTGCAGCTGCGTCGTTTTCATGGCTCGGGGCCTGGGTGGTGCTAATCTTGCCCTCGCGAGGACAAAGGACAGGTGCTTGCAGATGCATATGGTCGGAACCTCAGGAACGATTCAGTTTAAAGTAGACGTGATTGCATGCTGAGCTCATCAGAATAGATCTGTCTGCAGCAATTTTCGCGTCACGGCTTTGGTCTTGGCTTGGTATAGGAGTGCATCAGCCCGCAGATCATCGCATGTTTTTTGCAAGAATCACGATGACCCACGAGTCGCCAATCGCCATGGAGCCAGCTCAGTCAGTTCGCCACGACGTTCTCCACACCTGCTTGCAGCGAATTTCAGCGGCTGAGGACACAATCCTGGCATTTTCCTTGGGTGCAGTTGAGCGGGTGCAGAGTCCAGGAACTTCTCAGCAACATGCGCCATGCTGAAGAGATCATTGCAGGCACGGGCCTCAGCAGACACTGACTGCTCAGGGTCTTGAACTTGAACTCGCAAGAGGCCGCAGAAGCCCAACCTCTGCCTCTGTTTGCGAAGGTGTGCGAGAGGCTCTTCATGGCCTCTGTGGTGAGTCCCAGTTGAAGTTGGCGGAGACACGCCAGGTGGAGCAGCAAGACACCGCGTAAGGTGTTACAAGTAGCAGGCTTCACAGCGGTGAAACGCGCAACCGTGGTCTGCAGTGTCTCAGGTACCTCCAGACTTCCAGCCCGAGACGCTCGATTCGGACAGTGCACCACCGCCATGCCCGAAGTGGCCGCCGTCTGTGAAGGCACGGCGGCAGACAACTCGTGGTTGCTTAAATCGTAACTGCTTGTGGCGATTGCAGGCGACTGCACCGACTGCAGTGCCCGCCGTGCTGCCGCTGAAGGCGCAGGCGACTCGAAGCAGATGGGTTTGGAGAATCGCAGAGTCCTGTGTGCAGTAACCCTGACGTTCAGGTGCGAATGGATCAGGTCGTTCTTGAAGCCCTCCGAGAAGACAACAAAAGAAAGGTGAATGCAAGGAGAGGGCAGGGCCGGGGACACCAGGGCACACATCGCAAGATGGCAAAGAGCCGCGGACTGCGCTCCCCCTGTGGGAGGATGGCCGCAATAGGCAAAGCTGAGACTGCTGCCGGCATTCCAACCAAAGCGGCAGCTCGCCTTCAGCTCTGTCTCTGCAGACGATGACTCTCGTGATCTTACTGTTACGTTTACGCAGCCCTGCCTCTTCAGGTCTCTACAGCCTCCGTCTTCAGTCTTTCTCGCGAGACCATTGGCAGCAGGGGATGGCTTGCCGTAACCAAGACAGGTAATGAGGTATGGGTTCGGCATCCTTGGTCGACCGCTGCCATTTCGTCATGGTTGTGTGCAGGTGGTCCGAGGGCCGCATCTGTTCTTGTTTTCTGTCTTCCATGACGAGGCCTTCTCGCCCCGCGGTGGTGCCAGAGATGCAGAGTTGGGATTGGGCGTGGACTCCGGTATGGCCAGAAGGACCGGAGTGCCATTGAAAGTTCGTCGCGCATGGCCGCTCTCGCGTGAAGGACGCATCCACCTCCCCATTCTCAACCCTGACAGCCAGATTCGCTTGGCATGGGATGTTGCAGGCCTCGCCTTCATATGTGACTCGGCAGCAAGCATCACGAGCTTCTGCCTTCTCCCAAAGATCGACATGAGAAACAGAAGCCCCAAACCCAAACTAATGCTCATGTCGTACATCAGCTCTTCCCGACGGTGCTCAGTCATAGGGACGCTAAGGGGGGTAGGGGGCCTTCATGCCCATAATAAGGACCTACCAAGGCTTGTTTTTGGAAATATAGTCCCCTACCCCCCTCCCCCACCCTAAACCCTAAACCCTAAACCCTAAACCCTAAACCCTAAACCCTAAACCCTAAACCCTACCCCCTCCCCCTACCCCCCTTAAGGGTCCCTATGACCCAGGCTATGAGACCTACGCTCTGCCTGTCTACTTGGCCTTTGACTTTCAGCCGGGGGCCCCGGCTCCTGCCTCTGCACCCTTCCACGAGGGTTTAGGGTTTAGGGGAGGGTGGGGGGTTTGGGGGTTTAGGGTTCAGGGTTTAGGGTTGAGGGTTCGGGTTTTTTTAAATAGGGGCCTATACTATTTTGGGGCTTCCCTATTAGAACTATAGTATAACGGGCCCCAAACCCCTATTCTAATTGCATATTCGTAGCGTCCTGTGGATCTCGCGAAATCAGCACTCAGCCGTTAAAACGAAAGCGGCTTCTCTCTCCGCCAGATTCCATGTCTGCAAGGTTTGTCGGGGTCTTCTTCGCTTTGGCCGCCGCGCTGGATGCGTACTTCATCCTCGACATCTTCATGTCCTACATAACAGCGATCAGAAGCTTGGCAGCTCTTGGGAGGGGAGACGTCCCATGCACAACGCGCCTGATGCCCAAGACACTAAATGCCCGTCAACAACCTCGAACAAGCCCTTAGAAGTTCCATCAGCTTCAAACCCTCAAAGATGCAAACACACCACTAAAGCATTCTCTGCATGGCACAGGAACTCCATCAGGAAGCTTGATTGCAGAGCCGAAGCAGATCGCCAAGATCTACAGCCGGCGCTGGCTCCTCCTGGACGCGCCCTGGCAGAACGTGAGGAAAGGGCGGTTGGGCATGTCAATATATCAGCCCCCTGAAACAGAGTCTATTAGGCTAGGGGGTTTAGCGTCGTAGTTCCAGGGGTTAGAGATGTTTAGAGGTTTGGGCTTTAAAGCCTTTTGAGTCCTAACATGAAAGCCGGCGAGAAGCCGGACTCGGCTTTGTCAGGTGCTGGCAGGAATCCCATGGGAGCTGGTGAATAGCAAGGTGCCTTGGGACGTCCAGTGCCCTGGCGGTTGAGACAGAGGCCTAGGCCAAGTGGTTGTTTGCTGCACCAAATCTGAGATCCGAGGTCGGCTCAGCTTTTCAAGATGTTGCGGCTGGTGCGCGTGATGCGCCTGCTGCGATTCCTTCGCGTGGACATCTTCAATGAGAGATGCTTGGACTGCAATTAGTCCAATCAGAGATGGGTGGTTGTCAAAATTAGTGTCCTTGTCATAATACGGCACCTAATATTTAGGGTACCCAAACCCTAATTTTGACAACCACCCAAGTGTGTGTTCCCAGAAGCCGTGGCCGAGGTGTGAAGATGTACATTGAAATTCGGCCAACCCTGATGTTTGCCAGCGGGATTTTGCGGCTCCTCTTCATTTTGTGTGCAGTGACGCACTGGGCAGCCTGCGCCTGGTTCTGTGACTCGACTGGTTCTTGTGATCGTCGGGGCTCAAAATGCTTTCTTCGGAAGACTGGAATGGGCGTATGCGATCTAGTAATGGTCAAGGATACTTGGTGCTCTGCGGCTTAAGCGCGCAAAGGCACTTGACTCCCGTTGCCCCTAGCTACAGCAGGCAACAGGCAGTCGCAACTACGAAAGAGCATGCCCGAAGCGATGCGCCTTCGAAACATGAAATTTCAAACGTGTAGCGGCACTGGCTTCGTTTCAAGCAGTTTTGTCCCCGACATGTTGGGCGCTTCAACACGTCGAGCCGCTACTTGCTTGGTGCATCATGACAGGCAGTCGACACAGCAAACCCATAACCAGGAGCAGTTTTGAAGCACCCATCTGGAATCACAAGTGACTCGGAGAGATGACTGCACCTGTGCAGCAACAGCAAGAGGCTAAGGCCAAGCATGCGACCCGCACCAGTGGTACAACTCGGGCCCAGCACACTGTACATTGCCTGCCCACATATCTCGGAAGCGTAACTGCGCTCATGGCGGCGAGATGCAGCCAGGTAGCGCGCAACAGAGCAGACTCGTAGCACGTCATTGCCATGATTTGTAGCGCTGGGTGCCCGTACAGTTCAGTTCAGAGTGGCTGTGCCAGCGATCACAGAATAGATTTTGCGAGCCCGACCAAAAGCAGCAGGTCGTAATTGCAACTCGGTGCGATCGAGTTTCACAGAGCTTCGTTGATTGTGAGGCATTGGGAGCAGAACTGGCATTGGGCAGACATGGGTGACGAAGCACCTTCCGTTGGACTTTTCAGTGTCGGAGGGCTATGTTTACTCGCTGACACACGGCTGCAGTTTCTACTCCCAACATTCAGCTGCAGATGAAGCCTGCTAGTTTCAGAGCAAGTTCAAGGTACTACACATTGACGACGATGACAACCGTTGGATACGGTGACATCACCCCTGACGCTTGGCCTACCAAATTGTTACCGCGTACAGTAGTTACCATATGCATCATGATGATCACCAAAGCACCCACCCCCACCCCCAACACTGGAACCACCGCAGCACCAGCACCGGCACCGGCACCCGCACCAGCACCATCTTCACCACCATTGCCTTGATAATGATGACCACCATCTTGATCATCATCTTGGCCTGGGAGACCCGTTGCGTGAAGGCTGGCCGACAGTGCCCCGAGAGTAGTTTCCTAGCATGAGACCTGCCCATAAGAAGTTTAGGGTTTAGGTGTTTTTTTGCTTGCTGACAGCCACTGCAGGTAAACCTCGGGGAGATTTGCTTCTCGCTCTTGCTCCTCCTTATCGCAACTGTGGTATTCGCCACGGTGATGGGGTATCTGACTGAACCTCGACTGCAGGTGGGAGTTTCAAGTTTCAACAAATAGCGAACCTTTATATGATCATGCGGCCCCTATCCTTAGAGGAGTTCACACCCCCCGCCCCCCTGCGCGAACGTGTATCGAAAGCACCAGCTTTACTCTTGGAGCCTGCGTCTCGCACTAGGCCAGATGTGGGATTCAGAATCTACATCCAGGGCCGCACTTTTCTTAAACTCGCATGTGCAGCTCATGCTGTACTCAGGACATGATCGCCAACGTGAACTCTGAGCGAAATCAGCAAGCCGAGAAGATCTTGATGCTGAGCAACTACATGCTTCTTGGTTGAAGTGGTGGCGAAGCCAGACCCATGCCTAAGAACCTTACCGTTTGTTCGCTTTTCCGACACCCGGTGCGGGCCTCGTTGTCTTCCATGCTCCTCAACCTCCGTGTTTGCAGCTTGATGCTTCTCCGCTGGCTTTCACCATGCTACTACCATCCCACTCACGTCTTTTCAATGGTCGCCCACTGGACTGCATTGCATGCGTCCGCATTTGTCACTGCGTGAGCACCTCCCTGCTGTACCTGTCAGAGAGAGCTTCCAACTGAGAGCCGTTCCCTCTCGCCCAGGACGTGGCGAAACATCCCTCCGCATTTGTACAAGGCCGTTGCGCCTCGTCCACCGGCCCTTGTCTCGGTCGGCAAGTCCTAGCTTAGGGATTCTCCGACTGGCTGTCTTCCCGTACTTCGGGTCAGTATCAACAAAATCACCACTGCAAACACGCCGGGGCGATGATCCCCCCACGCAGCTCTGTCAAGCTTATACCGGAGTGCTTGAAGTCCGCAGTTTGACCCTTAGCCATTTTGTCCTCGCAGGCCATCCGGCGGCACCTCTTGCACTTGTGGGAAACCAACAAGGGATACGACTCTTATGAGGGTCAGCTGCTACTCGTCCGTTTTCATCACTGCTTTAAAATTTTCTGTGGTGTGCTGTTCATTACGTACCAAGGAATCTGATCTCAGATTCTCTTGCCTTGTAATCCACTGGTATTCCTTACTGAGGCAGGATCATCTAACACCAGTGCTCCGAAGGGAGCTGCGCTTTCACATCTTCGGTCGGGTCCTGCGCAATGCGCCTTTCTTGGCCTTCCTGCGCGACTTTGAGGCCTGGTCAACCCCGCAAACTTCTACCCATTGAACAAACCCGGCACCCCCTCAAAACCCGAAAAGCCCCTAGAATCAACAAGAAGGCCCCTTAATAACTTCAATAAAGACCCTCATAATCATTGTAGGTCTGCCTCAAAGAGCTGGCGACGAAAGTCTCGATACGCATGCTTTCACGAGGCGCGGGGAGTCTCCTGAACAGAAGTATTCTCAACAGGATTCGTCTGCAAGTAGAGGCCATGTGCGGGCCTGCAGATCGACGCAGTTGGTAAGCTTCAGGTGACCACATCGTCCGCATCGGAGAAGCAAGCGACAGGTAGCAGCCCCGGAGGGCGCCAAGCACTCGCCTTCCTGAATTCGCAGTCGTAGACGGATGTTGATGTGCAGTCGATTTGTTGATTTCTGGTGTTTGGTTCAGGGGAAGGGCTGTTCGTAACAATAGAATAGTGACTAGGAGTAGGACTTGCATGATGCCTTCTAATCTGCATAGGTAAGTCATCTAGATGATCATACTTCTCCATAGTACATCGAGTAGCATGCAAGATAGCAAGGCACTACAAGGACCCTCAAACAAGCAACCCAAACCCCAATGCCCCAAGGTGCTTTTCGCACCCACCTCGCTGCGCCCTTCATAGGGCTCGTGCTTGAGCCATCGGATTTGCGCGTGTCATCCTTAGCAGGGGTCATGCACCTGCCAGACAAGACGTGGTACACTTCTCGATTTGTGCACCTGCGGTACACTTCTCGATTTGTGCACCTGCCAAAAGTAGGGATTGGGCCCTACAGCAACACTCCTCCTCAGCAGGGGACTGAAAGTCAGGCCACCTGCTGCTCTCAGAGTGCACAAAAGACTATCGCTGGCTAATTGCCCACCGTCTTTCAAGAATGTCAAACACGCTTCAGTGCATGACTCAGCCTATGAGCTCTTGGCCGAGTACCCCCGTGACTCGGTCTTTCATTTCTTGTAACGAGGTGTCACAAAGTTCTTGAGGCCCAGTGGCTCACTGACGGTGTACAGCAGCGGTCATCACTAAATAAATTCCGGATTCCTACTGGACTATTCCTTCGGCAAGAATCAGACATGCAAGAACTGGACATGACATCGGCCACAACCTCTGTGCGGGACAGCAGCTTCTGTCCTATCAGCTCTTCGTGGTGTTCACGTGTGACGACAAAACTTCTACTTGAAACCGGCGCGGGAGCGAAGCTCAGCCAGCTTCGTTTTCGACAAGACTTTCGTTAACATGTCTGCAATCAGCGTAGCACCAGGGTGATGCTGCAACAGGACATTCTGATCTCTGAGCTGGTCTCTCAACCATGATGCCCTCAAAGCAAATGCACGCGTCCTCCAAGTTTTCACAAAGAAGGTCTCTCGATTCGCCACTACAATGCTTGCTGAGTTATCGCCAAACATCTTCACGTGTGAGTCAAACTGTCGACCTGAAAGGGCCTCAAGCAATGGAAGGATCTTCGTCGTTTCTGACATTGCAAGCGCCAGAGCGTCCGTTTCTGCCTCGCAGACGCTCCACGCCGTAACTGTCTGCTTCGAGCTCCACCATGCCAAAGGCGAGCCAGACAAGGTGATTGTCCCGCCTGAGCGTGATCTACTCCCCTCGGGAGCGAAAGATGCGTCGCTCCACACCTCAAGAGATGTATTAGCGATTGAGCCCTGAAAATACACTCCAATGTCTAGGGTTCCCCGAAGATATCGCCAGCAACCGTGGGCGACCTTCAAGACTTGCGTCGGGCACTTGTGCAGATGCGAGGCTGCTATTGACACAGCAGACAGGAGATCCCCTCTGCTCTTGGTTGCTACCCACAGTAGGCAACCCAGCTCGGTTTGGGCCTCCTTCAAAGCCGTGGCGTAACCAGGATTCTCCGGATCTTCCGTTCCGGCAAACTCTACCTGTGGAAGGCTCTGGGATCCACGAAGATGTATCCAGTTCCTCTGATGTAGCTCACTCAGAACCCATCTCTTCTGATGGAACTTGACAGCACCGTCAGTTTCGAAATGAATCTGAAGCCCGATGAACGTCAACTCTTGAACCCGCTTCAAACTGAAGTCTCCCTTTCGAAGCTCTTCAGGACCCTCACGGCTGATGAAGCCTGAGAGTTTTGTATTCCAAGTCGCTGCAACAAAGTCCAGGAAGGCGGTGACTGCCGATGCCTGGCCTACCACTAAAACGTCGTCGACGTAGACTGCGGCGATGCCTATGACCTCTTGTGAGCTAACATCTCGTAGAACAAAGAGTCCTTCTTCATCTGGAACCAGCTCTGCCACAAAGGATCCTCCATCGTAAGCAAGCTCCTTGCCATTGATGGTGTCGTCCCTTAGCTTGCTCCAAGCTCTCGGACTCCTCCTCAAACCATATATGTGCTTGCGCGCTCGCCACAACACATTAGGCTTGACTAGGCCTAACCGCTTTAGAGTCGAAGGTGGTTCTAAAAGCACGATGTCGTCGTCATCAAGCTTCGAGTTCAGGAAGGCCAGAGACACGTCTCCAGATGCGGCCACCCACTCAGGGTGGGCACTCAACTCATGTCCCATGATACGAAGTGCAGCTGGACTGACGTTCTGCGTCGTGACCTCTGCCCCATCATAGGCCTCAAAGTTGCCACAGGCACAAAGACGGACTTTGGCTTTCCAAGGAGGCTCTCCTTGGACCTTCGCGTTAGGCTCCTTACCAGTCTCCTCCTCGGGCTTGCGCGACGTCACCAACTTGGTAGGCAGTGGACGTGGAATCTTCACCCCCGGTGCAAGACCGAGATCCTGATGCAAATTGTCACGGGATACTTCTTCCAAGACTTCCATGTTTTTCATGCCCGTCATCTCCGCCAATGCCCCGCCGCACCACTTATCTCTATCCTCCTGCGATCCTTCGAAGAAGACTCTACAATCCGTTGGTTCCGCCGACGCCTTCATAGCAGCAAGTTCGGTCATCAAGCGAGCCTGCTCATCCGCTTGGGCCTCCTCGTCCGCGGTGTCAAGCTGGTACCCCCTTGGTTCTGCAGGCTCATGCTCCAACCTCTTTGCGAGGCACGCAACCGAGGAGAGCCCACACACTGTGCACGATTTGCCTTTCAACCATGCGCTCTGCATCAAGGATTTCGGCTCCGAAATGTCTGCTGATTGCTTGCTTCGTGCTTGACAACTGATTGCTGTGCTATGGCTCATTCCAAGGAACGGACTGGCATGATCATGATCGTCTTCCTGAATTCGTTTTCGGATGATCGTGGCGGCTCCGGCTTCGTGATCAACTGCTTCTGGGCCTTCCAATCTTTCTTCAAGCGTTACGATCTCATCTGGATGTGGTTCCGTCCACCTAGCTGAACCATCACGAGCTACCCACACTGCCACGTCCTCATCAGGACTAAGCAGCTTTCGCCAGTGTTTCGGAGCTGCGTCCAAAGGCTCCGGCAATCGAGTAGTCATGATCTTGGTTCCGGCCTCCGTGTCCACAATGACTTGGGATCCATCCTGCATGGATTCGTCTACACATAGAAAAACTCCTTCTCGCACTCGAGGAGCAAAAGGCTCTGCCCCCTGAATACGAACACCAACGGGATCACCAAAAGTGGGCATACCAAGCGGAGGATCTTCCACAATCGCGCTCAACCGAAGTTCATAAGTTGCTTGCTTCACAGCATATGGCCAAAACGATCGTGGCATGTCCGCGTGCAAAAGAAGACTTGTGGCGCGCTCCTTGATGGTTTGCACTTGCCTCTCAGCTCGGCCGTTCGCCTGAGGGTCATATGCCGATGAGCACGTTTTCCAAACGGCATCCTTAAACAGATGTTCCACGACTTGCGAAGCGACGAATTCCTTTCCACCGTCCGAATGCACTCTCACAACCGCTGTCGGGTCCTCAAACTCTGCCCTCACCTGCAGAATGATGCTCTTCATGTTCCGCAGTGTTTCTTCAGCCTTCTTAGATTCTTGAACGCGCACATACGGAAGTGTCTTCTTATCTGCAGTAATGTACGCGCCGACCAAGAAGTACAAAGAGGCATCCCTTCCCCGAACATGTGGGCCAGAGAGATCAAAGCTGAGCACAGCTGAGCTCACCTGAGCTGCTGAAAGCTTGTAGTGCGCCTTCCGATGTCCTCTACTGCCCTGGCACTGAAGACAGTCCTTCTGATAGGACGAGTGTACAACACAGGAGGCGCTGCCATCAAGGCCGGACCTACCTAAACCATCCCTGAACTCACCGGTCTGATGGTCCTGCACAACACTAAAACCAGCCTGAGCTTCACACACATCCTGCCAAAACTCACAATGCCCTGAAGGTTGGTCCAACTTGCAAGTTTCAGGACGATTCTCGGAGTACGGTTCAGGCTGGGGGCTAGATACAGGATTCTGGTGTGTCTGATGTTGCTGAGTCTGTGTCGTGATGTTTGCTGTTGCGCCTCCGGAGCTGCCGCTTTCTTCTGATGATGTCACAATCTCCACTGCCGCCTGGGGTTTTGCACACCACAATAGCTCCAAAGGCAATGGGAAACCCATGTCCACCAGCTGCATCAACTCTGACTGCGTCAACCTCTTAGCTCCAGTCGTTGAGTGACCATTCAGGACCACTCGCCTGCCCTTCCACTCTTCAGTGCCATGCCAGCACTTCGGTGAAAATCTGAAGCCCTTACCTCGAATCTCAACTAGCTTGCCCAACAAAGCATGATCCGGTCGAACCTGACGTAGCTCCTGACCCTGCGGATCTTCAATCCACAACCTTCCTCCGCTAGGCATCTCCTCCTTGGAAGACACACACACCAAGAAGTTGTCACTTCCTGGCATGTTGTAGCTGTCTTTGTGAGGTACAAATGTGACGTTGTCATTGATGATGATGCTTGTCCAAGTTCCGGTGGGAAAAATTTTACGTAGGAATGCGTTGATCAATCTGGTCAGACTCGGCCTAGCCCTGCACTGCTTGGACAAACCCTGGCAACCACCATGTGTCCATGCGCCCAAAAGCCAAGATTTGACTTGTGCTGATTTGTCCTGCACGCAACTACGGTACCTCACGACCGGCTTCAAGCTACTACTCTGAAGAAGCTGCATGATATTGGCATGTGTCCATGCCTTCGGCCCCTTCTGTAACAGCGCTCCCGCTGCTTCTTCATCTCGGATCAATGCTTCATGCGTGCTGACTTGTGGCTCCTCCTGAGCCGTATCGGCGTGAACTGCAGCCACTGTGGTTGTCACCAGGTCCTTAGGCGTCTCCTGCGCAACCCCTTCACACGCTCCCGCCTCTACCGTGGACACCGTGGCGTCATACGGCACTCGATGCTGCTTCCACCACTTTGACAACAACGGACGCAAGCGCATGAAGGTACCCCTGTCGAGGTAAGGCAAACCACCGTGAATTTCCAATTGAACCCACTCACCTATGAAAGCAGAATCCTTCGGCAGCTGCAACCAAGCACCTTCGTCACTCCACACGAACTTGCATCCAACAGCTGTCAGCCTACACACTCCCGCAATGACCTCGGGACCCGTTCCTGGAATGATCACTTCACCATCCCTGGTTCTCGAGGCCTCAATGGTCTGACTGTCGGCTAACAACAACTCCAGGGGCATGGATCTAGGTGGAGCCTTAGCAGCCTTTCGGAGGACCTCGTTTGCACCAGTATCCAAAAGAACATTAGACCCGTCACCCAGATTACCAACAGCGCACACCTTTCGCGCTTGTGACCTATGTTCGAACTCAAGGATTCTTGCTCGCAGATGGAGGAGCCGTCGTCTGGCTGGCTCGGGGACTGTGGCGAACTCTTCTACATGGAGATACATCAAGTCATGCAGAATCTCTACCCCATACGTGTCAAACATGATCCAACCCTCAGAGAAATCCACAAGGCTTAGCAGTTGCTGCAAGGGCATGCGCAACACATGTGTGATGTCGGCGGCAACTGCTTCAACCAATGTGTCATGATGGCCTTGCGCTGTACGCTGAAACTCAGGGGCTCCAACAGATGAAGTTGATGCTACGCTAGGTCCTGTGGTCCTGACGCGTGGAGGCTGAGGGGCCTCAACGATAGCCAAGAAAAGCTCATTATGATCATCTTCATCAACGAGCCAGGCCACAAAACCCTTTCTGGCAACATCATCATCACACATCAGCAAAATGTCATAAGCAACTGCGATACTCTGCGCTTCTCCAATGAGCAGATCTCGAACCGGCATTCGTTCCGCTCGCTCCAAAGCCCACGCAACTCCTACTGCAACATCCCTACCCTCCGTGACTTGCACAAAAGGCCTAGAGCTCATGATGACTTCACCGCACTCCCAGTGCTGAGCCCATGTGTTGAACTCCCTAGGATTCAAGTGCAAACGCCAAAGCTGATCCCGCTCTGCTCGGTGCAACCTTGCGTCCCGCATAGCATCCGCAAGCTCATCAACTAGATCATGCTCACTTGACAAAAGACTCTGAGTGCTATCAGTCGAAGCAACCGTCCCGGCATTTGACAGTGCCTCCAAGTCTGAGCTGTCCTCATCGCTAGAAGAAGAACTGAAATCACTCACCGGATTGCTTTGTGCCATCATGATCATGGAAGTCACTGCTGACGCCTTGGCCTTGGCCTTTGGTTTAGCCTTGGGTTTACCCTTTTGTCCTTCATCATCATTTGCTCCAACCAATGCTGTGGCATTAGGTGCTGCTGCAGCCTTGGGCTTAGGCTTATGTTTCTCGTCGTGGGAGAAAGGACAGTTTTTCCGATAGCATCCTGCTTCACCCCAAAACCACTTGCAAGGCTTGTCCTTCCTTGCATCAATGTTTGACTCCTTGGGTTGCGATTCTCCTGCTCCTTTGCCCTGATTTGCGCTGCTCTTTCCTTTGTCCTTTCCCTTGCCTCCTTTGTCCTTTCCTTTGCCTCCTTTGTCCTTTCCTTTGCCCTTGGCTAACACCGAAGACTGTTGCTCATTCTTGTTTGCCTTCAGCTGTTCGTCAGCTGCAAGCTGACGCAATTCCTTATCCAACGTTTCGAGGATCATCTGAACTCCTAGTTCCGTGGGACGCTGGATGTCCGGAGACAGCTTGATGAGACTCATCCTGGTACGTAATGAATCGCTTCGCTTCTCAATGTGCTTTACTAGTGTACATAGAGCTCTCATCGCTTCAGACGGGGCTGTGCTGGGAAGATTCAAAGCTGCTGCGCGCAATCTGGCTAGCTTCCACCTACGGATACTCTCCAAAGCATCTCTAGCTGATTGGGCTGGGTCAAGGTTGCGCATGTATCGCAACAAACTTGCAACTTCTTCTTGGCCTCCAGGTTGAACTTGATGCACCAACTCCTCTAACAATGACAGTGATGTAATCTTGTTCTCTGCATCTTCAACTGCGCTGTCTTTGACCTCTGCTGGAAGAATCCGCATCAAGCTAACCACCAATCGAGCCTCATATGTCTCAAAGCATGCTTCAAGCTTTGGGGCCTCAGCAATAGGAGCTCCAGACATCCGGCTCTCATGTCTCTGGTGTGCCAAGTGAAATCGATCCTCAACGAAGGTTGCAAACTCCGGTGCAACCGTCGTGCAAACCGCCAGGATTTGTCGTTTCCATGTTGTGAAACCCAATCCCAGCTCCCAGGGTTCCCCTGGTTCTTGATGATACTTTGGAAGATCCGTCAAACATTTCCACTTTCCGTTCGGAATCTCGGGTGCCGACTTCCGATTTCCAGGCCTTGCGCCAGGACTCGGTGACCTTCCTGAGGATGTTCTCCTCCTGGATCCTAGACCAGGTGGAGGAGCAGTGAGACCCCATGGATTGAGAGGATCAACCTCTGTTCTTCCACGTTCCCACGTGCTCCAAAGCTCTGGCTCTTCTCCAGTCTGATCCCACCAAGCGGAAGAGGCATCTTGAACCCCAAAGCTAGGTGCTTGATCAGCGTTGGGCGTCAGCTCAAAATGCACTGGCTCGCGATCGTTCTGTGCGGGCATCGGATGCAATTGAGGTGACTGTGTATCCCGATGAAAGTCCTTCGAAGTTGTACCCCCTAGCTGAGCTTCCTCCAACTTGTCAGGGCCTTCCTCGATAGCGCTCACTCTCTCATCAAGCCTGTCTATTTCGGTCTGGACCTTGGGTAACACATCAGCTCGAAATTGCTCCAAACTGTTGTGTAGGCCCTCACCTTGTTCACGCTGCTGCGTAGTCAACACAGCAAGCTCCCGATCGACCTTTTCAGCCAAGACTTGCACCGCTCGTGCCAGTGAAGCTTGATCCCCGGGTTCACCCTTCAAAGGTGCATAAATCTCACGCTCTTGGGCATCCAATCTGCGCTTATGCTCTTGCATGCTCATCAGAGTGTATTTCACAGACTCATCCAGCTCAGCAACTCTACCAGATAGGGCTTCTACCTTCGCCAGTAAGCTCGCCTCTCTCTGCAAGGATTCGTCTAGCTTGTTCTTGACCTGCTGCTCCTCTGCACCTCGTTCTTCTAGGTAGCTCCTAAGGTCATGTTTGATCGCCTCGATTTGTGTGCGCGCATCACGACGATCACTCTCCCGGCCTTCCACCAGGGATTGCACTGCAGCTTGTTGTCTAACCACCGCGTCCCGAAGCTGATCCAGGCTAGCAGTTAGCACTTGACAGCCTGCTTGCAACTCTCCAACTGATCCCCCAACCGCTCCCACTGCCCCAGCGAGAACTTCAGTACGGTACTGGATGCGAGAAGAAAGCTCTATGACCGCGGCCTGGATGTCAGCCGCAAAACTCAAATCCTCACCAATACTCGTTCCAAAGGCTCGCAGCGTTTCAGCAGGTATGCTAATGCGAGTCATCTGTTGAAGCGTCACCTGCCCTCCAAGCTGCTGCTGTTCTGCCGCTGCTTGCAAAGTGGCTGGTGCAGATGCTGTTGTTGATGATGCAATGTCATGCGTAGTTTCGAGAGGGTTTGGACTCATAACCTGTTGATTTCTGGTGTTTGGTTCAGGGGAAGGGCTGTTCGTAACAATAGAATAGTGACTAGGAGTAGGACTTGCATGATGCCTTCTAATCTGCATAGGTAAGTCATCTAGATGATCATACTTCTCCATAGTACATCGAGTAGCATGCAAGATAGCAAGGCACTACAAGGACCCTCAAACAAGCAACCCAAACCCCAATGCCCCAAGGTGCTTTTCGCACCCACCTCGCTGCGCCCTTCATAGGGCTCGTGCTTGAGCCATCGGATTTGTGCGTGTCATCCCTAGCAGGGGTCATGCACCTGCCAGACAAGACGTGGTACACTTCTCGATTTGTGCACCTGCGGTACACTTCTCGATTTGTGCACCTGCCAAAAGTAGGGATTGGGCCCTACAGCAACACGATTCACGGAAACCCTAACCCCTAAACCCTAACGGCAAAAGACGTATCCGTCAGAAACCTCTAGAACCAAGGATCTTCATTCTGGTGCAAGGCAAAGTGCGCATCTCCTTGAATGAAAGCCTCTGGACAAATCCCGCTTCGGAGGACGGGGCTTTCTTAGGGTTTAGGGTTTAGAGCTTTTGGGTTTAGGGTTTAGAGCTTTAGGGTTTAGGGTTCAGAGCTTTAGGGTTTAGGGTTTAGAGCTTGAGGGTTTAGGGTTTAGAGCTTTAGGGTTTAGGGTTTAGAGCTTCAGGGTTTAGGGTTTAGAGCTTTAGGGTTTAGGGTTTAGAGCTTTAGGGTTTAGAGTTTAGGGTTTAGAGCTTCAGGGTCTGGGGTGTTTTAGGGTTATATTAGGAGAGCTTGTGACTAGATCCGGGGTATCTAAAGATATAGGGTGTCCTCTAAACCCTAAACCGAGGGTGTCTGCCATGCCAGGGGGTTCAGGGGTTAGGGCAGTTCAAGGTTTTTTGGAATATGCGACAATGCACCAGAGTGCTCCATAGTAGGCTGTCATCGACTACAGGAGACTCTCGCGGAACCGAACAGAACAGTACTTGTGAATATATGCTATACTATATACTAGAATGTACTATAACGTACTATAAGGTATTAGAAACACAGTAGTGTAGCGCCATGATAGTATATGGTAGTAATAGTAGTTATACTTATACCTCATTCCTCCATTCCCCACTAACCAAAGGTAAGCTTCCAGGAGCTGATGGACGAGATCTGGTCGACCTATGCAGCGAAACGGCGGGGAGCAAAGGACGCAAGTGGAGAAGTGTTCCTGGAAGGCCGGGAGTCGGATTGTAGGCTGATTGTGGCGAGAATTGACACATTTTGAGGAGGAGGAGGCCGTCATCAATTCAAATTAGTATTAGCTACTATGACAGACTGTGGACTATTGATGAGCAATGCAACGTGGCTGATTTTACACAGTAGTTCCATGCTTTCCAGAAGTCACAAAGGCATAACCGTGCTGAACTTGTTTGACCTTGTGTACTCCAGCATGCCGCAGTCGAAGCATCTGCTAGTGCTGAAAGTCTCTCGTGCCGTGCTACTGTCTCTGAGCCCGGCTTTGGTTCCACGTAACCTTTGTTGGGAAGTATAGTCCCTGTATTACCCCCTATATCACAAAAAGATTAGTCTCTGTAGAGCCTTGCCCGATGTGATGTTCTCGCGGCGCCAGGCCTCCATACTGCGATGATGCACCGCAAGCGCCAAAAGGCGATTGATGCGGCCGTGAACCAGAGTTCCTATGCCAGCGTCCCGAGCTCAGAGCAAGGATTGCTGCGCGAAGCCAGCGGTGGCTGATGCCACTCAGTTGAGGGATGATGCAGACAGGACAGATAGGGAAGCCCACCCCATGCAGGGCTCCGAAAAATCAAGTCGCAATTTTCAGAGACTGCTGTTCCAATGAGGCCTTCAAAACTGTGGATGCAACCCACAGCCTCTTTTCCGCCAAGACCTTCGTCAGGGCCGAGGTGCCCTGAAGGGGAGGGGCAGTTGCAGGCACTTTGACGACAATATAATTGTTGTTTGTACAATAACTGTTGTTATTAGAGTTGTTATTGTCTGTTTATTCTTGCTATCCGACCCCCTTTGACAACCACTGAAGCCCTCATAACACCGAGCGAAAGTTGCGAACACGGCAGGAGCAGCTGCTGGTGCAGGACTCACGCGGCTGCCGGGATAGTTCTTAGCTCCGTGAGGTAATGATCTAAGTCGTACTACTGTTTTCATGGCCGCATCCCTTCATCGTCTTTTTTTGATACCTGCCGAAGTTAGCATGTCAGGAGCCTTGGGTGGCTCTTTCTTTGTCTACTTTTCTCTTTGTTGCCCTGGCACTTACTGTGCCTGTTCTCTTCTGTGTCTTTGACCACTGCCTAACTCCTGCCGTCGTTAACACGGACCTCCTTGCTCACAGTGCTCTGACTGATATCTCCTCTGACTGTTACTTCAACCCTCGTAAACCAGGCCAGCATCGAAGAAACCTCAGCTTGAGCCCAGAGACTCCAATATCCCTGAATTAAGGAATGTACCTTAAATTATAATAGGATCCCTAATATGATTTAAGGAATATTCCTAAATTAAGGGATATTGGAGTCTCAGCTTGAGAAGGACTGCCGCCAGCGCCGAGCTGCTCGCTTCATCCAAACACGCTGGCGCCAGAAGCTGCCGCCCACCAGCATTGAAGTTTAGGGTTTAGGGTTTAGGGTTTAGGGAAGAAGCTGACATCCAGCAATCCTTGCAGATGAAAGGCAACATAAAAGAGAACCTGAGCCCTCTAGATCCTTACTATGGAGATACTGTAGTGTGCCCAAAACTCTATTCTCATTGCTAAGGCCTGCATGTCACAAAACCCTTTGGATCCTTAATATAAGTATACCACAGTGTGCCCAGAACTCTGTTCTAACTGTTCAGGCCCCTTATTCAAAATCCTCGACCTCAATGTCATGACCATGTGGGAGTTTCCGAAAATTAGGGGTACCGTATTTTGGGGTCCCCAGAATAAGGATCCTACTATTTAGGGTACTATATTAGGGTCCCCTATTTTCGGAAGCTCCCATGTCGTGAAGCGCCCGTGAGCCCAGCCTTGCCTTCAGCTAAGGAGGGCAAGGAGGACCAGGCCAGGGCGTATGGGTTCTATAGGGCCCCCTATCATAGGATCCCCTTTAAGGGGTACTGCAGGGTTCTATACTATGGTGCGCCTTAAAAAGGGTGCAGGGTTCAGACATTAGAAGTGCAATCTTCATTGCTGTACCGGTGCTTAGGGGAGCTCAAGAGTAAAGGCTGAGTGTTTGAGTGTCTCAGGGCTGACATGTGCCATAGTGCCGTAGGGAGGAGCGTGTGATCGGAGTTTGTGTTCAGTTTATTGTCGAGGTGTCGGCCTCACATTGAGGGCAGAGTGCTGTCTATTCTTGTCCTCCGAAGTGTTGTCTTTCGGGAGGAACTAGCTTTAGCAAACTGGAGCACCTTCCGTGCCATTCACGGAGTGGCAAGCCGGTTTCGCCCTTCCATGGCAGGCTAACATCACAACCGATTGTCTGCAGCATGAGCATCGAGGCACTGTCTGCAACTCACCGATGTTGCCGCTGACTGTCTCCAGACCTGCCAGCAACGTCGTCAGGCGCCAGCATATTTTGGAGAATCCTGCCTCTGTGATCCTGTGGAAAAGTGGGATGAGAAGCCTCCGCAATGCATGCAGTTCAGCTGCACGCAGGCAGAATTGACAAAGAGGTGGACACGATGACACAATGATCCTTGCCCTAGGCCCTAGGCTCTGTGCTTCACGAACAACGTAGGAACAACACTGTTTGCAATTCGTCCCCCTTCCTAGAGTCTCAACCCCGGAGCCTCATCCGAGGTATAGTGCAAGGTGTGAGATGCGATCGGAGGTGATGTGCATTCTTCGATCAGATATCGGCGTGCCTCGAGATGCACAGAGCAGGAGACGGCGGTCCCGGGACCTGAAGTTCCCCATAAACCTAAACTGGCCGGCTACACCCTGAACGACTAGAACCTAAACCCCTAAACCCCTGAACGCTAAACCCCCAAGAACTCCTAAACCCCTAAACCGCCCCTAAACGCCAAACTCTAAACGCCTCAAACCCTAACTAAAGACCTAAAAGTTCTGGTCCCGAGGCTCTGATCAAAGAATTCTCTCCTTGGATGGGAGAGCGATTTGAAGTCTTTCGGGAGGAGGCTCTGCAGCTGGCAGGGGGGAACTTCTAATCTAGTCGAGTATGATACAGAAGAAGTATAGTAGATGACATGGTATTAGATTATATTCTGACATATCATATTGGGCTATCATGCAAGTGCATTACATTGGTTATATATATATATATATATATATATGTATATGTATATATGTATATATATATATATATATTAATACTTGTTGTTATGCAATGTCACACATTGTTTTTCGCATATTCTAATCTGATGACCTGCCGGAGGTCGTCCAGAATCTTACGGACGCTGCAAGGGTTCGCATGCGCCAGAGCCCCTCCTGCTCGAAGCTCTCGGAGTTGGACCAGGAGCCGAGAAGGGATCTGGAAAGTTTCCGAAAGTTAGGGGGCTCCTTAAGGGTTCCTATAAGGGTTCCTATAAGGGTTCTGTAGGGTCTAGGGTTTGGGAGTTTTGGAAGATTAGGTACCAAGGATCCTACTAATTTGGGGTACTATATTGGGGATCTGGGTGATTGTGAAAATTGTGGTTTTTTTTTGGGTCCTTAATCGAATACGTAATACGGCACCTAATATTTTGGGGTACCCAAGAAGGGACCTTAATTTTGACCACTACCCATCTGGAAGTTTCCGAAAATCGGGGGTACCTTATTTTGGGCACCTTATTATAAGGATCCTGCTATTTAGGGTTTAGGGTTTAGGGCCTTATTACAAGGATCCTACTATTTAGGGTTTAGGGTAGAGGGCCTTATAATAAGGCCTTATAATAAGGATCCTACTATTTTCGGAAACTCGCATCTGGGCAGAGAGGGAGGGAAAGGGGCTTTGCGTTCAGGGACGGAATGCAAGCAACAAAAGCAAGGAACGGGAGAAGTGTAAGAAGCCAGGGACGGAAGCTCCGTTACGTTCAGGCTTCTTTTGTGCAGGACCCTAGGAGCTCGCACGAAGCTGAGGATCCGCTTTCATGTCCAGGGTTTGCAAAGCAGAGTCGTAGAGTGGGGAGGACCTCACCAGCGCGTCTACGGCATCGTCGGCCAAGGGCGAGCAGTCTCATGAGCAGAGCGTGCTGGAGGAGCAATGCTACTTGCGCAGCCTTGTTCCAACACGCAGGGAAGGGTCTTCAGCGATCTAAACCATGTGACCATGTGAGTTGTTCAATAAGTTGGGGACAAGAATCCATCAGCCCCGAAGGACTCTGAATTCTTCTGACAGGTAGCACTTCGCAACTGTAGCGCATGCCAAAGCTGCAGCGATGGTCGGGCCTGGTACTTAAAGGATCACTCAGTACCTAGGGCTATAAGGTAAGGTAACTATACTTATGACTACCAATAATCCCAGTTAAGGTACTTATAACGTTGTTTACTAAGTTACATGGTTCTTCAAGTAGGGGTTCGATGGAGTTCATTACAGGAAATCCCACTTCGCACCCGTGCCAGCATGTCAGCTGTCTGCTTTCTCACGGTTTTGCGGAGTGGCGAGATCCATTGAGACTTTCTGCTGGTTTTCATTGCCAGCTGCGTTGGATTTGTGTCATGAACTAATGCTGTTGCTGCATGTGAGGCACACCAGGGAAAAAGCGGATTTGGTAGATGGCGTAGGGCCAAAGCCGTTTGTGCTTGTCTTTAGCAGTTGCAGCAACAGTTGTGCTAGCACTTCTGTCTTGGCATCATTCAGCCGCTAACGTGAGATCCACCTCGAAAACTGTCGCCGGGGCGGGGCAGAGCTTTCCAGAAGTCAGAGGCGCGTGAGAAGGTGGTGGTGGGGCGGGGAGAGGTCCGCTTAGAAGACTGGCCAGAAACAACAACCACTGAAAGGCAAAGCACACCTACGTGCATCACGGAAAGCTTGATGATGTGCCAGGAGAACGGAATCTTCGCAGGCGAGCTGGTTCAACACATGCTTCGCTGCATTTTGGGTTCGTTTGCACAAGAAGATGCCGGCCCGGTTTGCTGCGCTGCACATTTCAGGTTGGTCTGGCTGGACGCAGTTGAGAAAGGATGCCTCCGACCGATCTTTGAGCACATACTCAGAGAGGCAGTGCCTGTTTTGGTGTGCATTCAGCAGACTCTGTGAGGGCAGCCAGCCGAAGGGAAAGGACCTAGGCCCCCAGGCTCTGAACCATTCTTGGTTCAAGCTGAGATGTACGTAGCAGCCAACACGATTAAGTCGAGTCTAGACACTTGCTCAATCACTGGGCTCCGCAGATCTCTGCTTAAGCTTGAGGAGTCAAGTTTAAAGTTATCTTTTCCAGTATGTGTTGAGCTGACAACCAGATGCTGAAATCTTTGATTCCGAGAAGGGAATGCTCAACCTGGCTACACTGGCAGCCGAAACCAGGTGGAATGGCTTTCGAGCCGGCTTGGCCAACTCGTCGTTGTATCCATGCAGAAGTAGGATGGGGAATGTGAAAATCTACGTTAGTCGGCAGAAGTAGCAAGAGATCCTTACGCCGGCATGATTCAAGATAATTCCTTCTTGTCCAAACCTTCGTACTGAACCGTCCAGCAAATCAAAGTTTCGCACTGAACCGTCCGGCAAATCCTGCAACTCGCGCGACTGTACCGTCCGCTTTGCCTTTGACTTTGGACCCGGCGAACGAATTCACGCGTGCGCGCGCGCCGGTTTCAATCAGTCAGTGTGTGTGTGTGTGTCTGTGCCTTCACAGGAAGTGTTTCTCCCTTCCCAGTCTGATACGGTCGACGGCATGTTATACTATGTTATGCTGCGGATCAGATCAGGCATTCGCGAAGACTGATCTCGGGTCTCGTCTTCGGGTTTGCCCCGTCCTTCATGCTTCTTCGAGAAGTGCGTTCACCAGCATCCACAAAAGAATTGCGCGTCAGAAAGCCCGGTGGTGTGGCACAACATCGAAGCAAACTCACAACAGATACCGATTGCGGTTTCAGACGCAGCAGCCAAGCACCAGCCAAATGCAGCTTCGCTTCCCAAAAATGCAAAGCTAAAGGATTTTAGCATGAGTTAGCTCGGGCACTTGAACCTTCAGCCAGCTGGAAAGGCTTCTAATTACGTGGACTTCGAGTTGCCGTCCAATTATACGGCTGTCTAAAGCCATAGTGTATAGTGTCTTGTATCATATCTAAACTAGATCGTGACTTTTGAGTGGCCGAAGTCATCAGATTGTCTTTGGCATCGCACATTTTCGTTTCTCTTTGCATTCTGTTCTCTTCGGTCTAGCTTTTGCCGCCCAAATCTCGCGCAACGGGGCCCTTATGCAGGGCACCATGTGATGAACTTGCAGCGCTGAACTTCCAGAAGCAACGAGGCACGTGATCCTTCGGTTTAGGGTTTAGGGTTAGGGGCACATGATATGCCCTTTTGAGTGCAGTGCTCCACTTGCATCTCTTGTCGTTTGCGCTGTCCAGGCTGCAATTCCTTGCGGCAGCCGCTGCTTCATGATATTGTATAAACCTGAGCGGAACGTAACCGCGAAATTCAGGAATCTCTTTTGTTTTTCCATAGTGGAGGCAACTTTTAAGTTGTTTCGAGCAGGACCGATGCTGCTGAAGCCAGGAATCAGCCTGCGTGCCCAGCTGCAGGTGTTGTTTTAAGAGTTGTTATCGAGCATTCGCTGTAATGTTGCCATTTCTGAAATGCTCAATTCCGGGGATGGAAGGCTGGGTGTTTTGTGTCGGGCACTCGCGTTGGAACGCTCGCAGCAAAATGCTTTTCCTCAGGTTCTGCTTGCAAGCTCGTTTAGAGTTCGTGCATGATGTCGGAAAACGGCATCATCACTTTGTGGAGCAATGGTCTGCACAAGTCAGCGACCGCTCCATTTCAACATGGGAGCCAAATCGCTTGGATGGAAGAATGCTGAGCTATGACAGAGGTGGAGTGGTCTTAGAAGCATTGGCGCCCTGGGAATACTCTGTGTCAGTCAATCCATATGAGATTGACCAGGATGCTTTTGCCGACTGGCAATCAAAAGTCCTCGATTTTGTGATTTTCCTCGATGTGTCTGCATAGTGAGGTTACGAACCGCAAACGCCTGTTCTGTCCTCTATGTCGATCCTTCGGGAGTCCCGGAAAATAAGGAACCCTTATGTGGAACCCTAAATAGAAGGGTTCCTTCATTTTCTGACACTCCCCGTTGCATCGGCTTGCCACAAGGCAAGCCGCCCGCTATCCTCAGCCAGTTCTTGTTGCTGGAGTGGGTTGCGGAATGGTTGAATAAGACTTGACCACGGGGAGCTGAAGGCCCTGTGGGAGAGTGTCAGCATGCAGATGTCAAAGCCGGGTGAAAAGGGAGGCTACCTTGAAGATGAATATTGCGCTGACTGCTACTAGTAGAATTTCCATTACCATTACGCACTGTTTCTGTTACTATTACGATTCCTACTGCCTTTACACTTATAGACTCAACATGGTAAGATCCTTGTTTCCGAAGCCCTGACGGGGCTGAGGTCGTTTGCAGCGTCGGAAGCCTTCCGGTCATTGGCTCCAAAACCCGAAACCTGAAAACAGGGGTACCTTAGGGTTCCTTGAAAGGGTTACTATGAAGGGTATTGTTATCAGGGTTCCTTTAAACCTTCATTCCTAAGCCAAAGCCTCAACCCGGATCCCGAAACCCTCAAACACCAAACCTCACACCAAAAACCCCTCATCCTTGCCCCTTAAAACCCTACACTCGAAACCCTAGACCCCCAAAGCCCCTAAGGCCCCTAAACACCAAAGCCCCTAAACCCGAAAACCCCCCAAAAAACCGGCAGAGCTCAGCTTTTCTCGAGGCCCCGATGGGCCCATGGCCCCTGGTGGTAGCTATCTCTACGAGTTGAGGCCCGACATTTTTGAGAGGTTGCAGGGGATTGGCAATAATTGGTTCTGGGGGTTTCGTTGGGCTTCGGGGGATTTAAGGCGTTAGTGGGGTTCAGGGGTTTAGGGTTTGGAGGTTTAGTGGGGTTTAGTGGGGTTTAGTGGGGTTTAGTGGGGTTTAGTGGGGTTTAGAGGTTTTTGTGCTTTGGGCTTGGGCTTTGGGATTCGAGTTCTGATGAGTTCAACGTTTAGGCTAGGGGTCTGGGCGCTGTGAACCCTACGCAGTGCTACTTCTGCAGAGGCGATGGGCGGACGCCGTGCGCGAGCTCAACAGCGAGTGTGCGGCACGTCGCGGCGACGTGTGCCTAAGTGCGCCGGCTTCCCTTGCTGCTGTGTTTGCCTTCTCCGTCAGCGGTCCTGCATAACACAGTCGGTGATCGGGTGGGTGTTTGAAGTTTTTGCCTGCCAGACCTCCTCGCGTACTTGCGGAACTTCCCCGAGACGGATCAAGATGCCACTGGAGGTCATGGAGTTCTTGGGCCGGGCTCTGATGTGGACCATGATCGCATCTTTGATTCTAGCAAGGGGCCCTTGGTCATCTTGCTCTGTCTTGCTCTCCGGCTCCTCTTCATGTATCCGTCCCTTGTCCTGTCTTGCCCTGTCATCTGTGCTTGACTTTTGTCGAGAATGTCTCATGTACCAGGTGCGCACTTGCAGTTTCAGATGCGTTCGAGCGATGACCGCAGCCTCTGCTACGCAAACACCTTGAGGTCCATGGCCATTGCATCGAATCTATTCAAAGTTGCAGCCCCATGTCGTCATCATGTGTGAAGTGCGAATAGCAGTGTGCAGGCTCCCAACTTCGATAGCTAGCTGGTAGCATGGCTTTCGATGAGTGGGAGCTTGGCAGCCATCACTGCGTCTACGCAGCTTCGACGGTGGAGTCATGCCTTGGACTTGCTGGAATCATCGCGTCACTTGCGTCTGAAGCCTTCTGCAGCCTTATATACAGCTGCCATCGATGCATGTGGTGCCGGTGGTCGCTGGGCCGCTGCAGTGAAGCTGTTCGATGAGCTTCAGTCCATGATGACGCCTGATGTTGCTTGTTTTGGCGCAGTGATCTCGGCTTTTTCAACTGGTGCGGTGTGGGAGAGGTGTTTATCCACACTGACCTCCATGTCTGAGTGGAGGATTGATGTGAACATCGCCTGTGCAACTGAGGCAGTGGCAGCCTCAGTGCACACCGTGAGCCGTAAACCCTGAACCCTAAACCTGCAGGATTTCTAGCAGCTAGCATGTGCTGCAGGGACAAATGCCGGCAGACGTGATACCTCTCGACTTCGGCGTGCAGCTTTGGGCTCAAACAGAGGTGAGCAGGCCATGAAACCGGAATCCCATTTCGTGGGACGGTGGCTTCGGCTCAGAAGAGAGCGTGATGTCACAAGCAGCATTCCGTTTTACATTCGGATTGGCCATGTTATGCCATGTTGAAGCTTTCCTCAGTAGCATCTGCCTCGGAGAGTGCACAGGTCAAAGGATGAAGATCTCAACCAGATGTAGACACGTGCCCCAGCTTGCAGAAGATGCCGCTGCAGTTATCTCAACACCAGATGTTAAACGATCGAAGATGGAACGGAATGTTATCCCGAGGCTGCAGGGCGTGAGTTGATGACGCGCCCCACCTTCACCCCTTCCCACAACATCAGCCACATAGCAGGACAAGTGACAATTCCCTCAGGTACTGGTATGGCTTCTGCTGGGATGCACGGAGGCTATCAAAGTGACGGTGACTCTGCCGGCCAAGGCGCCAATCTGTGCCCTCATTTTCTGCACTGGGGGAAAGGTGAGGCTATGGATGAGGGTGCTGGGCGGGCATTCCGCATTCCAAGCCATTGAGCCGTTTTGACTCTAGACTCAACCCCAACGAGCTGCTCTTGACTACTCTAAGGCTTTGCCAAGCTGTCGACTGCAACCCTACTTCTGCCTGACACGTCCGATGGAAGTTGAAACTTGACGACGTCTATACTTTGCCAAACCACACACTGACGATGATTCGTTAGTCTAACCCTCCACAGCCTAAAGCCTAAACCCTACCCTGAACCCCAAAGCCTAAACCCGAAAACCAAAAGGTCCCTTATTGAGAGGGTCTACAACCCCTGCATGGTTCCCCCCGCACTTAAAGGATCGTGGGACTTGGTAAGTGAGGTTATAAGTACCTGAATTGGGGTTATAAGTATAGTTACCTACCTTACTTATAACCCTAGACCCTAAACCCCAATGGTTCCCCCTAATCCCTAATCTAATCCTAACTCCTCTACGCCTTGAGCCGCGAGGAGAAGAAGTGCTTCGGAGAGCAGGCTGCCAGGATGGAGCTCTTAGCCTTCTGGTGGCAAGCTGTAGACTTTGTGGGTTTAGGGTATGAGGGTTTTTTGGGGGTTTCGGGGTTTGGGGGCTTAGGGGTTCAGGAGTTTACGGTTTTTGGGTTTAGGGTTCGGGGTTTCGGGGTTTAGGGTTTTCGGGTGTAGGGTCTAGGGTTTCGGGGCAAGCTGTAGAGTAGAGGTTTATGATGGCTTCTATGCAGGGGCTCTATATCGTAGACTGATGGCTTCTATCATGGGTTCTATACTATCTATACTGTAGACTTAGGGGTTCTATATGGGGTTCGAGGGGTTCCAGTGGAGACTCGAGGGTTGCATAAGGGCTTCCATAAGCCCCATCAGGAGTTCGACAGATGCTGCAGGGGTTCGTTCTGTAAGTATCTGCGGGGCTTGCCCCTTGCATGGTATCATAGGATGTGAATCTCATTCGGCCCACCGGTGCTTTCACTTCGAGCTGCCTCATTGCACTCAGTTTGTCGAGCTCAGCGTTGCAGATGGGAGCAAGGCCCCGTACCTGTATGCATCCGATCAGCACGTGCCCTTGCAATCTTGCGCGGCTGCTGTCCGTTGCCTTGCACTGCCGGAGGTGGGTGTTACGGTGCTAAGCCCTCATGCCACCATCTTCTCCGAGCATGACAGACAACAGGTAAAGACAGCAAGGGCCCAAGCTGCTGCGCCTTTCGCTGTAAGTCTTCTGTTTCAGAAGTGCCTGTGGCGGGCCCGAGGCGTTCACAACGCAAGAAGCTGGCCCGCACTGGGTTTGTGGCTGGACAGCATACTGCCCGTCCAGGAATGTTGTGGGTGCGTGCAGTTCAAGCCCAGGTATCCAAAACGATGCGCCATCCGCAGCGGAAGTCTTGCTAACCGCCCCTCGGCCTCGGCACAGCTTGGGTCTCGATTTGCAGAGTGTGTAAACCTTGTCTCTGCCTGCAAGGTTTTGCTGGGTCCAGAAGCCAAAGACTATTCGCAGGTTGCGAAGAAGGCCATTAACAGGGCTTAGAGAGGTGAGAACGAGCCTTGATCGTTTGAGCAAGGTTGGGAGACCGAAGAGCGCCGTGTTAGTTGTTTCCTTTTTGATCCTCGTGTTTTGGTGTTTTGTTGAGAGCCCCATGCCTTTGCTTCCCTCTTGTCGCGCCTTTTCTCGTGCCGTCGCGGGGTGAGGGGCCACCGGGCTTCTAGATGCCAAGTGGGTGGTTGTCAATATTAGGGTACCTTTTTGGGTCCTTATTATAATACGGCACCTAATTTTTAGGGTACCCACAAAGGGTCACCCAAGTGTTGACGGCCACCCTGAGTGGGAGGAGCTCGGCAGCTCTCCTGCCCACGGCCCTGGGGCCGAGAAGATGGCCTGTCACGAACCCGAAAACCAAATGGGAGTTTCCGACAATCGGGGACCCTAATATAAATGCCCTAAGTAGTATAGGGTCCTTACTATAAGGACCCGAAGTAAGGTACCCCAATCTTCGGAAACTCCCAAAATGTCATCCGCACACAACGCTCTGTCAACTTGCAGCACATTGGCACGATCCCACTCCGCAGCATTCGGTCTGACGACCACCACTCTCACAGCCCCCTGCGCAGGAAGCTACTTTGCCCATCCCCGATGCTGGAGCAGGGATTTTGGAGTCGGTGTGATGACTCCCAAGTGTGGAGCCTGCTGGGGCGGGTGGCACCACGCTTGGAATGTGCTTCGAAGACGCTTGGAATGTGCTTCGAAGATGGGCCCCTGACCGGAGCCCAACCGCTTCATCCTTGGGTCCGGCGTGCGCCTTCGCCGAATCCAAGCCCAAGCCGATAATCTGTCGCAAAGCGATGTCGTCTTTCCTCAATCGTGTTCGGAAGTGCTTGGCATCTTGTGCGGGGTCTGACGACAACTCAGCTGCGCTTGGGCCAATACCGGCAGGGGAAAAGAAGGTTCTTGCAGCAAGTAACAGCCAGATCACGAAACTTGTGTAAAACTGAGCTGCAAGGGAACTCTATGAAGGGCTCCTGCTCGCGCAGCGAGGGGTCTGACTTTCCCGACTTACAACGTAAACACCTACGCAGAAGCAGTAGGCAGCGTGAGTCCTAAACAGGCCTGGAAACGTGGATTTGGCAGACGAAGAGTCAGCACCTATTGAATTATGCCTGCAACGCTGGCTCTGCGCTCTCACGCCTGAACTGCGACACTCCAGCCGCGTCTGGAGAGGCCGAATGCCTTTCTGAGCAGCTGGAAACGACAAAAACCGAGCTGAAACTAACGGCATCCAAACTGTGGGAGTTGGCTGAGGGCCGAGCGCGCTTCTTCTTGTTATCTCTTCTTTGGGTGTGTTCCTTTCTTCTGCACTTGTGCAGACTGGTCCTGCCGCACCAAGCTTCATTCATAGCGTCATAGCTCATAGCCGATGCAAGCAAGGGACTATCAACGAACTGTCTCCGTCTCCCTGAACTTCTAACGCGCACCTTAACATACCAAACCCTACATGGGTTTAGGTTCTTATGATAAACCCTAATAAGAAATTTGTAAAGGGCCCCTACAAAAGAGTAGGTCTTGGTAGGTTAAGGTCAACCCTAACAGCTTTATGGTGGGAGGAGCACCTGGAAGAGTCGCAGATTGCGCTTCGAAGAGCAGCTTTGCACTGCCCTGGAGGGCTATTACGGATTTGGTGAGTGTACGCAAGGTTCATGTATTGGGGACTGTACTTGCAATACAAGCTGTATATCATATACATTCTTCAGTAGACTTGGTCCGTTCTTGCATGTTTCGCTTTTCTCTTCCAGCCATTCCCGTTGACATGGTCGCGCTAGCCCTGGTGATCTCAGGTAGAAGAATCCCTGCGAAACTACCATAGCAACGTCCTTTACATCAGAGCACGCGAGGAGCGGATGAGGCACGCAGGAGCCAAGTATTTCAGCTACCAGGCCATGGTCTTTGCAGTCACTTTGCCCGGCAGGCAGACCAATGATTCCACCGCGTCCAGGGCAACTTGACAGAATTATCTCGAAAAGGGATCCTCGACATGTGGAGTATTCCTCGATGGACCTTGTGGGGTTCAGCTCCTCCATGGTGCTGAGGTCATCTTCTTCTGCTTGTTCAACGTTTTCTTGATGCGCCCCGGGCATGTTCTTGAAGTGGTTGAAGTTGACGAACTGGGCTGCATGCAACATCTGACGAGGATCGGCGTTGGTGGCTGGCAGATGCTCTACTTCAAACGCTTCTTCCGGTCAAAGAAGATAATCTAAACGGGCCCTGAAGCGGCCAAGCTGCCGAACGGCTGCAGTCTGCGCCGTGCAGCTGACTGGCAGAGGCTCGGTCAACGACGGGAGAGTGTAATGCCATGTAATATAGCTTAATTCAGTTTCGTAAAGTATAATACGATTTTGCACGCTTCTATGAAGAAACCCTGGTACAGATCACTGCGTTCGTAACGCAAGTTTGAACAGATAATCCTAAAGCGTCTGTGGAGGGGAAGCCACCTTTTGCTGCGCCAATGCCCTGCTTTGAAGCTGGCGTACAGTCGATTCAGGTTATGGCTTCGGAAGGAAACCACTTCTTTCATGGCGGCATGCCCCGTAACTGCCAAATCGCTGGCTGGCAACACGAGCCATGTGGCACCTACAGCAAATGAGAGATAACAGTAGCATGGTTCTCGTCACTTCCTTTCCAACCCTTGCATGTATTCATCCGTTGCATGTTCAGACGTGCCTGCGATGTGCTGACGCAGGCGTGGCTAGCGGCGAGCGGATGCTTCTGTAGGAACCAATGAGGGCGCGGAGCTTGAGTTTCGAGACCAACCAAAAACATCCTAGGCTTTTGTTTGCCAAAACAACACAAATGTTATATATGTGTGTATATATATATATATATATACATGTATATATATATACACACACACATATATATATATATATATATATATATATATATATATATATATATTACATTGACTCCGTTTCTTGCCTTCGTGCAGTTGTTCCTGTAGGAAGAGCAGGCTGACATCAGCCTCATGCGCAAAACCTCGCGACTCGCTGCTGATGATCAAAAAGGGAAGCTCAACTGGGGTGCCACGTCGTTTCTGGAAGCTCGGAACTGGGAGACAGGCCAGTAGAAAGACTCATTGCTTTTCATGTTACTATTACATTATTATATTATTACATTATTGTATTATTATATTGTTATATTAGTATATGATTGTATTATTTGTATTACTATATTACTACATTGTTGAGGTGCGCTGCCAACTTGCTGCTGGTGCGACGGCCGCAGGCATCGGCACGCGGTGTTCAGCCTTTTTCCGGTTTTCAGCTGTGTTCCGAGACCTGCGACCTACTGCATGACTTATCAGATACAGCAGCTGTCCTCTGCGCCGCTTTTGGTGTTCGCAGGAATGCTACCAGTAGGGGCAGATGTGCAGCAACAGTCGCAAGTGGAGACCCTAGACCCTAAACCTACACCCTGAAGCCTAAACCCTAAACCCTGAAGCATAAACCCTAAACCCTGAGCCCCAAACCCTAAACCCTTAAACCCTGAACCCTAAACCCTAAGACGAGTTGACGAGGCTTCCACAAGCTGAAGGCAAGAAGGGGATCGGCTCGGCGCTTCATCTGCCATGCAATCATGTACCATATCAGAATTTGCTATAAAACCGGTAATATGATACAATGTACTATAGTATACTATATGCGATAGAGTATAATATATTAAGAGGTTCATCCAAGCCGGCAGCCGCAAGCTGCTGGCAGCCGGAGCCAGTGGGAGCATAGCACTTGAAGCCCAGCAATAGTTTCTCGCCGTGTGGTTCCGTTTGTTAGTGCGTGCCAGTGAGTGGCCGGAGTGTTGGGCGGGTGGGTCTGTGTGGAATGCTGTATGCGGGCAGGTGCCTGCAATTGGGGCCTCTCCAAAAATGGACGCCTAGATTGTACTACATTTGATTACACCATAGGTCACCATATTCTCCTGTACTATCTTGGACTTTATCATACTATGTTATAGCATGTTGCGCAGCGTAAAGCTGCCCGCTCTGTTTGCTTAGCAGGCGGAGCACCTCAAGCTGTCACGGGCTGTGGAGTTGGATGCGATGGCCTTGAGGAGAGAGCAGGGTTTGGGGGCTTCTGGGGTTCAGGGTTCAGGGTTTAGGGTTAGGGGTTTAGGGTTTAGGGTTTAGGGTTAGGGGTTTAGGGTTTAGGGCCTAGGGTTAGGGGTTTAGGGTTTAGGGTTTAGGGTTTAGGGTTTAGGGTTCAGGGTTCAGGGTTTAGGGCCTAGGGTTAGGGGTTTAGGGTTTAGGGTTTAGGGTTTAGGGCGCAGATGTGTATGTCCCTGCCCCTGCTGCAAGGATGACACGCTTGACTCCGCAGGTGCATGGCCCCTGCAGCAAGGAAGACAGTCAGGCACGTACAGAAGACGTTTTTTAAATCGAGAAGTGTACCAAGTTAGATCTTATTCGCTTTCGCTTCTGCTGCTAAAACAGTTGGCTGGCCCTCGTACTCGAGGGTTATGAGCCCAAGCCTTCGTGTGCCCTGTTGCCATGGACACTCTTGCTTCTAGAAGGAGAAAGTCGAGCTCTGTGCCTCCTGGTGGGCTTAGTGGCGGTGCTACGGCAGCTGACACACCTGTCCCACTTGAATCAGGAGATGAGCTTGAGCCTTCGTACGAGGACCAAGATGCAGCGGGAGCAGCCAACAGTCAGACTGGGATTGATGGTGAGGCCCCAGCCTCTTCGAAGCCTCTACCAAATCCTTTTTGGTCTGAAAAGGCTACAGCAGAATTTCAGTTGAACCAGTCCCGACCGCGCGACTTACCTAGCACTACTGAGAGAGATGATGATGTGGACGTGCATCCACCGTATGACTTCTCTGAGCCAGCCATGGCATCTTCTGGGCAAAATGCTGGGAAACTTGATGATAGAAGTGAGTCAAGACTCTTGCACCGGGGTCTCGGAGCGAGCTCTCCGGGATCCAGTGGCAAGGCGTCGATCCTGGAGCGTGGTGAGACGACTACGAAAGTGGAAGTCAGGAGCTATGCCCTTCAGGTGACGGAATCCCCGACGGGACCAACACAGCCGGACCATCAAGGAGCTCAGTACTTCATGATTGGTTCGGATGGGGGTGACACTCCGTTTCGCGAGCAGGAGTCTACAAAGGTTAGGAGTTTGGATGGGGAGATGTTCTCGCAAAGAGCTTCTACTGCAGGCAGAGCTTCTGACGTCAGGGACCCTAGCCAGGCTACCGTTGCAGCGCTCCTGCAACGGGTCAAGGACCTTGAAGATGCGCTAGTGGCGGAAAGAAACTCAGGAGCTTCGGTGTCAATGAAGTCCGCTGCTGGTCAGAATACGGGAACCTCAGTGTCGATGAAGTCGGCGGTAGGTGGTGCTGGTAGAGCTGTAGGAGTAGATGCTGAAAATGTGGATGGAAACCCGTCCGTTGTACAGACAAGTTTCTGCGATCCCCCAGGGTTAACAAGTGTGAGTAATGAACACAATGATAATAGTGTGGGTGGTCTTGGAAAATGGGTGTATGTTGATGGTGGTTACCGGCAGCTTGCCCTCAATGCACAGGGAGTTTGGACTTTACTTCCTAGCGTGCTAAATCAACCACCTCCTCCTCCTGTTCAGCCCCAAGCACCTCAATCTTCGGCAAGTCTCCCAGGGCCTTCCTGGATTCGGGGGCCAGCGCTTCCTGTTGAAGGGCACGGTTGGACTTGCCCCGCACAGCAGCTTCACCAAGTGCAGCAGAGTGTGCCGGAGCCGGTACAAGGAGGATCAGGCTTCTTTACGCCGCCGCAGATTCCTGAAGACCTTAGTGGGTTGCCTAAGGGTTTAGTTGAGTTTGTAGGCTTAGGTGGCCCTCCGCAGTACCGACCAGCTTCGATGTCACATCATGTTGAGCAAGCGGCTCCAGCAATGCAATGCACTCAGGGTTATAGTGGGTTAGTTGGTCCTCCACTCCACCACGTAGCTCCGATCCCTACGCCCCATCCTGTTGAGCAGTCGTTTCCAGGAATGCAATGCACTCAGGGTTTTGGCATTGGTTCGGGTGGTTCATTTCTGCCCCAGGTACCTTCGATGCCTTATCCGCAGTATCCTGTTGAGCAGTCGGTTCCAGGATTGTATAGCACTCAGGGCTATGATAGGGATTCGAATTATCTGGTGTCACATCAGACAGCCTTCCCGCGTCATCATGATGAGCAGTCGGTTGTGCCTAATACCTCCTCAAGCCCGGTACCACCCCCGCCTCCTAGTGGTTTAGGACCTGACTTTGGGGTGAGACAAGAGATAGGGTTTAGGGTAGATCGCACGCCAGGTGGTACTCCGGTGCCTCCGTTGCCTCCACCTTTAACCCCAACTCCAACGTCTGAAATCCGCCGTCAGGAGCTTCGGTACTCGCCTCAATGGCAGCGCTGGCATGATCTTCCACAGCTCTCGGAGCTGAGAACTGATGAGGCACCGATTGCAGTGGGCGATTGGATAACATTAGTGGGTCCTATAGTTGGGGACATTAGTACTGGAGCGGGTCTTTGGTGGGTCAAGGTTAAGGATAGGGCTGAAGCTTTCTATGCACAGTGGCTTAATGCTACCCCGCTACACCGAGCACAAATTGAAGTAACCTTAGGATCTGAGCTTTCCCAGCCGCAGTATGCCCGGCTTGAGCAACGAGTAACATCGATGCTGTTGGCCTCGCTTCCACAGAACTTGAGACAGGACATCCTAGCTTCTAGGGTTCTCAATTCGGTGAATGTTTTGTATAGGGTGATGGTTGCAGGGCAGCCAGGAGGAACTGCTGAGCGCGCGACACTGTTGAACTTCTTGACTCAGCCAGGGACTGCACAGAACCCGGCGGAAGCATTGGAGAAATTGAGGAAGTACTCAAGATGGAGATCGCGTGCGGAGCAGCTCAAGGTTTCCCTCCCCGATCCTTCACTCCTGCTCAGGGCTGTTGAGAGCATCGTGTCTGGAATCGTGAGTTCGAGCACTTATAGGGAGTTGGCTTTCAGGCTTAGTGTGCTGAAGCTTGAGCTCTCTTTAGATCACGTGCCAACACATGAGAAGGTTGAAAAGTTCAGGAGGCAGGTTCATGCCGAGATGGAGCTGCTCGCGGTGAGCGCTCAGGCGCTCTCTCAGGAAGAGAAGAGACAGCGGGTAAGGAGAGCCAAGGCCACTGAGGAGGAAGGAAAGGAGGAGAAGCCAGAACACAGGAAAGGAAAGGGCGCGAACAATACAGGAGGCAAGGATGCAGGTAAAGGTAAAGGACTTAAAGGCAAGCCTTCTGATGCCCAGCCTGAAAGCAATCGCCGAGTCTGTCAGTTTTGGGGTTCCGCAAAGGGGTGTAACGCCGGACGGTCATGCCAATACAATCACGATCTTAGTGTTGTTGAGGATGGTAGTGGTAGGTGCTTTGAGTGTTCATCCACTGAGCACTGGAGGAATGCGTGCCCAGTGCTAGGGAGAGGCCCACCCACTGCCGCTGGCAGCGCTGACCATAAGGCGGGTGTAGAGGCCTCAGCTAAGGCTGAACCTAAGCGGGGTCCCCGGAAGAGAGTTCGCAAGGTTGGTGGAGTTGAGGTTCCTGAGGGTTCGGAAGCTCAGGCCTCGCAGTCTGAGGGCGCACCAGCTGCAGCGACAGGGCCCTCAAATGATTTG